AGTGTGAGTGTGAGTGTGAGTGAGTGTGAGTGAGAGAGAGATATGCTTTGAACTGGGAAGAGATGGGAAAAATGTGTGTGTGATAAGAAATGTTACTTTAAGCCGAAGCGTTTGATTGATATAAGATTTGGTTGAAATGGAGACAGTTGAGCTCTGATGAACAAAGCTGAAAAACACTGAAAGTTTCCTGCAGAGAAAAAAAAAAGACCTTCCCAGATCCACATGTGTTTGAGAGCTGGTGTAAAATAATGAAAGGTGTGAGAAACGTGTGCTGCTCTTCTTAGAAGTTCGGTCCTGAGAGACAGAGAGATATTTACACGTCGCAGATGTTATTTATCGTAATGTAACGGTCAGCGCATCTCGATTCCAGGCCGTCAGGTCATTGAAGGCCTGTTTTCTGTCTCATCGACGTCCCGTTTCAGTCTTTTTTATTCATATGTGAAGTCATTTTGCTTCTAAATGAAGTAAATGCATCTTTATTTAAGGATGTTGTAATGGAAAATAAAACAAAAACACTGAATAAAAAAATCATTTTTTGCAGTGTGTGAGCAACAGGAACCTTGTAGTTCATTGCAGCAAATGCAGTTTTTTGCAAGTGTTGATCTTTGGCCTTTTGAAGCCTTTATGGTATTTTTGCATGTGCATTTACATTTTTGTGTAAAGCAGATTCTTTAACTTTAATATGTGTAGTTTTAGTAGCATATGAACAATTGTACGCCTATGTGAATATTATGCACATTAGACAAAACTAAAAAATTTCTGTGCATTCCCGCCATCGGGGAAAATTTGTTGGCCGGTGATAAGTTGGACTTTCCCGCTTTCTGACCAAATGCATAGGCCTGTGTGTGTGTGTGTGTGTGTGTGTGTCTGTGTGTGTGTGTCGTTGTGCGTCTCTGGGTTGCAGCTTTGTGCCCGTCTTGATCTGCTGCCAGGCATCTTGCTGTGATTGTTTATTCTGCTATTTTAACAGTTAAAAAATTGCAGGACAACATCTCTGGATCCCCCGACACGGCAGTCCGTGCGCCGCAGTTTTCTGGGCCGCGCCGGGCAAGTGTGTGTGTGTGTGTGTGTGTCGACGGCGACCCGGTTCTCAAGGTTTTGGTGTCGAGCAGGAGGAGGATGTCGGGTCGACTAATGAATCCACAAAAGAGCTGCACAAAAAAACAAAAGGCCTCTTCACACACGAGCTGCGCTTAAACAGCGCCGGCCGCTCGTCATTGTTATGCTAAGACTCCGTGTGAATATTCCTTCAGTTTAATTAGCTCAGCGAGACTCTCACGCCGGGATTTCACCCTCGGAGATCTTTAAAACACCCAAACGTGGAGTTCATGCTGGAATATAGTCATCTGGAACTAAAAGAATGTTTCCTTGTTTTTGAAATAACCATTTGGTTGCTTTTCTACATCTCAACTCATTCAAAATATTAGTTTGGAATCATTTTTTCATTAGGTTACAATTTTTTTTAGATCAAGATTCATTTTTGTTCAGCATAATTGGTTTTAACAAGAAAAAAGTTTGTATTTTTGCAAAACCACTCATTTGAATGTTATATATCGATTGACAGGTACTGCATTATTTATCTGTTTTATGGTTGTTAGATAAAACATTTGAAATGACATTCTTTATATATTTTTACTCATATATATATATATGAGTAAAAACCTTTATTGTGTGTGTGTGAATATATATATTGTACAATCCATTGACCAGATGTTTAAAAAATTATAAATCGTTTGTGCAGTTTTTCCAGCACACTAATTACTTCTGTCCAAATGGCCGATGTTTGTATGGACACACACACACACAGACACTCACACACACACACACACACACACACATAATTATTCCTCTGTCCGTGAGAATGTTGACTGCTGCATGTTTTGTGATGATATTCCTGAAGTGCGAGTGGATTTGTTTGACAGTATTTGTGTGCAAGCCGGAGAATCTCACGGTCTTTATTCCTGTCGTCGATCTGGAGTTTTCATCTCCTGCCAAACATTCGCAGATCGGCAGGTTGTTTTCACCTCTGAACGCGGGAATGTTAAATGATTCGCAGCACTGCTCTCGTGTCCGAACGGGTCACGTGATTGAACTCAGGATGCTCCTATTCTTGCATTTGATCTTTTAGAAGAAGCTTTTTATCAGAAAAGAGGAAAAACACAAGCTGTTTATCATGCTTAAGCAACAATATTAGCAGTTTCAAAGTCAGTTGTGTTGGATGCGATTGGTCTGGGTTGTTGTTTTGAGTTGTCTCTCATTGTCTTTGTGTCCAGCTGGTTCGAAGCCAAATGTGTTTTAAGACACTCTAGCATAGAAATAGGTCAGATTTTACACAAATACACACACACACACACACACATTCATCAAAATGAGGACATACCATAGACTATCGTTTTTATACCATTATTTTTTAATTGTTTTATCTTTAAGATAGATAACTGTTTACATGTTAGAAATAAGATTTTTTGTCAGATTTTGTCTTATTTTTAGGGACAATTTTGTGCAAAACTGTAGCTAAACACACACACACACACCATGTCCAAGACATATGTTTTTATGCTGTACAAAAAAAAATCTGCATTTTATTTTTTAAATAATTTGATCTTTAAGATAGATAACTATTTTTATATTCAGAATAAGATAGATATTTTGTCAGATTTTATCTTATTTTTAGGGGCAATTTTGTGCAAAACTGTAGCTAAACGCACACACTGTTATAGTGTATGAAAGATCAGCAGTTTATTTTTTTTATATTTTTATCTAAAAGATAGATAAATATTTTAATCTTTAAAATTTGATAGATATTTTGTCAGATTTCATCTTATTTTTAGGGACAGTTTTGTGCAAAACTGTAGCTAAACACACACACTGTCCAATATATGTTTTTATACTGTATAAAAGATTTTTAAAATATTTTTACCTTTAAGATGGATAACTATTTTATATCTTTAAGATAAGATATATATTCTATCAGATTTAACTTTTTTTTAGGGGCAGTTTTGTGCTAAACTGTAGCTAAACACACACACATGTGCAGCAGGGGAAAAACGGCCACAAGTTTGCAATGTTGAAGTAATCAGTCTTTGATCCTGGTGGTTTTATTATTTTAATAATGCGTCTGTGATCCGGCCATCTGAAGTGCCGTTCAGTGCATATGTTCACCATTACAGACCCTTCACATGAAACACACAAAGCCTTCATCTTAATTCTAATGAACTTTATATGGGGCTCTGCGTGTGTGTGTGTGTGTGTGTGTGGTTTGGCTTTTTCTCGCGTCTGGTTTGTGATCTCGGCCTGATTGGTTTGTTTATTTAATGTCCACTTTGTCTTTCTTAGTAACACGTGTGTGGTGTAAATGAGCCGCTGGTGATCTATAGCGCTCGTGTGTGTTTCTGCTCTTCAGATGCTTTTGCAGCTCTCACTTGTGTTGTGTTTCATTTGGTGAGATACATTTGAGTCTGTCTTGACAAATCTGAGCTCACTTTGAGACATTGTTGAGATCTCTGTGTTGTGTTTGTCTGATCGTGTGTTTTTTATGTTGCTGGTTATAGGGTTGGTTAGCAGCGGTTGAGTTTGGTCACACTAGTCGAGCTCCAACTGTGATTTGTAATAATAGTTTGTCTGACTGCCTAAAAACAGCAAAAGCAACACAGTGACAATGACAACACGAATACAGTGATTGCAGTTTTAGTGTGTGTGTGTGTGTGTGTGTGTGTGTGTGTGTGTGTGAGTGTGAGTGTGAGTGTGAGTGTGAGTGTGAGTGTGAGTGTGAGTGTGAGTGTGAGTGTGAGTGTGAGTGTGAGTGTGAGTGTGAGTGTGAGTGTGAGTGTGAGTGTGAGTGTGAGTGTGAGTGTGAGTGTGAGTGTGAGTGTGAGTGTGAGTGTGAGTGTGAGTGTGAGTGTGAGTGTGAGTGTGAGTGTGAGTGTGAGTGTGAGTGTGAGTGTGAGTGAGTGTGAGAGTGTGTGAGTGTGTGAGTGAGTGTGTGAGTGAGTGTGAGTGTGAGTGTGTGTGTTTCTGAGGTCACGGGGTCACGACGGTGGCATAAACATGAGCGATGCTTTTTTTCCCACTATGTTCAATATGTGTGTGTCTTTTTCTGCACCGTATGAACTACTGCTGGAAAACATATTGAATGTTTATTTAATTATTTTGTTGACAATATAAAATTAGCTATTAATTTTTGCAATTTGTGCATTAACTTTCGTAAAGTTTCCCATGTTCATGGAAGTGTGTCATTTCACGTGTGTTAAAAGGTGTTTCTTGTAAATATTTTGTGTAAAAATGCATAGAAAATCAAATTAAATATGTATATTTTGCTGTTTATATCAATTAAAATATATAAATATTAATTTATATAATTATAAATAGTAAATTTATAGTTTAATTATAAATGTACAGATATGTTGCATATGATGAATATGGTGCCTGTCATTTGTGAAAAATATATAAAACAAAAAATAGCGGTAAATATGTACATTTTGCTGTTA